GGTTCCCGCTTCCGGAGGCTGCCCCCGGGCTGTGGGCCGTCTCGGGGACTCTGTCTCCGCAGGGATCCTCCGGTGCGTGGAGCTGAGCTCCGGCAGCCTCACCTAAGGAGCCTGGGCCCTACACAGGTTGCTGGGCAACCAGGTGTGGTTAACGTGAGGATTAGGTTAGAAGCGGAGGTCTCTTTGCTTTAGCGAGAGCTGTTCTTCCTCCGACGGTCGGAGCGTGGGGCTTCGGGTGGGTCCCAGAGGTCTGAAAGGCAGCCGGCAGACCTGGGGGGGTTGGGAAATGTTCGCAGGCACACATTATGTTGCGATTGTGCAGTATTTATCCGTCCTAAGGAAAATAGGCAAGCACTGCAGTTAGTGCTATAGCTGTATGTGTTTTATTTCATACTGGTCTAACACTTCGTGTAGATTGTTTTTTATAACCAAGAGATTACCATTTTAAAAAAGTCAGCAGAGCAAGTCCAGTGGCTTTAGGTATATTCTTTCAGTTTCCATGTTAAAGGGAAGGTACTCCTTGTTGGAGGACATCTGCAGGGGTGGGCAGCCATCACTGGATTGATTTATAATCTTGTTTTTATGGTCACTGGTTTGTAGTCGTTTATTTGTTCTTGTGATTTGCTTTCCACACTTTTGTACCTCTTCCTTGATGAAAAGACTTCACAAGTAGTATTTGTGTAAAGTTGCAATTTCACTGATAAACTCCTATTTTTCTACTTTCGTCTGTAGAAATTGCCAATTTTTAAGTGGGGTGTGCGTGAAAATAGTACAAGCAATCTTATTTCAGAATAATGTCACGGACACATATGCAAAAGAAGTAGAATTCTAGTTCCAACTCGTATGTTTCTCTAGAAGATGAAATACTGCTTCACATCCTGCCCGACAGAATGGGCTGTGAGAAGGCTAAGTAGGGGTTCAGTGATTCATCTCGGGTCATAGAGTGAGACAAAGATGGGAGGACAGTCCCAGTCCATGCTCTTGTAGCTTAGCTGCAAACTGCCTCATCTGATTTGAACTGCTTGTTTCAGAGAACATTAGTACTATCTACAGGTACTAACATGCAAAAAAATTGTCTTTTCTGATCTTTTGCTACCTTCGCTCCTATTCTACTGCAGGGAGATAACCCCTTTGGAGCTACATGACTGTACCGTTGCCCTTCCCCATCACTGTGGTATCATCTAAGAAGGAAAGATTTTGCAGTAGTTCTGTTATCAGCTTAATTATGAGTTTAGCGAGGTCTCCAATACCATCATCTGCATGTTCATAAAAGTGCCTCTGACTTCAAAGTCTTTGTATTCTGTCCTGGTGGCTGTATTTCATAGGCAATTTTAGCAGCTTTACATTAAGGATTTGAAGCAGTTTGGCTTCATTGTGACCCAAACTAATGTTCTGAAGTTGAGCTGAGATTGTTGAAAACAGGACAGTTTTTAAAAGTTGCTTTCTATTACCTTTTTTTGTTCCCTTTTGTCCCCCCCATACAAATTCCAGTGTTTGTGAAGAACTCTCAAGGCAGAATTCTGTCTGCGGAGCGGTAATGAAACAGATGTGATTCCTCTATGTTGCCTTAACACTGGTTTAGCAGAAGCTGTTCCAGCTGCTTGTGACTGTCAGCAAAGGTGGCAGTTGGGGTGACTTTGGGATCCATAACTTTGGTGCAGTTGTAACCTCCATGAGCTTGGTTTAGATACAGTTCTTAAATAACTATTAGTTGGAAGTATTTTTGGTCTTTAAGACAAACTAATTAACCGTTACAACACAGTGTCATAGGAAATGGTTAATTCTCCATCTGTTATGTTTTCAGAATATATTTTCTTCAAAATACGCTGTAATGAAGCACAATTCTTGAGCATAGTTCAGGATAAATTAGATAAATTTACCTTCCCTTATACTTTGAAAGGTCAACATTGTCTTCCAGCCTGAATCTCCATGAATGAAAACTTTGTCTGATCATTCCCACGAGGGAGTGGTTTGAAGCATACCTATAGCACAAGGGTTAAAGGTGATTTTTTTTTTTTCATCGTCAGTCCCCAGAAGTGCTGATTTCAGCTTTGTTTCCAGAATTAGTAATACGCATTTTCACATGTCCTGTATGTGAGTGACCCTCTAGTGAGGTGAATATTGTAGTGTGAAGCATGACTTACCTTTTGCAATAAAAAGAGTTCAGTTCCATTTGTTTGATTTTTGCTTCTTTAGCTGGATATTCTCTATCTGTCATGGGTTTTCTTTTTCATCTCATTCAAGGTCTACAATTCTAATCCTGTGTTTAAAAGATGTTTAGTCTGAGGGCGATAAGAGATGCTGCAGACCAAATTCAAATTAATCTGTGGAAATATAATACTTTTTCTCTCCCAGAAGTGAATAATCTTCTTAAATTCACATGAAGTCTTTTTGCGTTACTTGAAAACTTGCAGTTTAAAGGTGTCAGTTTCTGCAGTCATGGAAAGATAGCAAAGATGAAATTCATGTCAGGGAAGCCCAGGTTCTTTTCCTAGGCTCGGGGTAGGGCGAGACAAGGACCTGCTAAGATTTTTGTCGTGGGAATTATTATCTTCTGGCAGATTTTAGACATCACAGTTAAAAACCTTAAAATGAAATCAAACTACTAGGAAAAAAAAAGGGTTACCAGGATGAGTGGTGTTTACTCTGTTACCCTTCTGTGCTCACAGCCTCCTGGCTGCTGTCAAGATCAGTTTTTGATATGCCACAACCTAGCTTCCATTTCAGATTGTCTTCTGACATAAAAAACTAGTGCCTGCCTCAGCAGTGACTGTTGCTTTCATAAGCAGTGTCATTGAAACTCGCATGCTTTTTTCCTGTGTCATCTCAGACATCAGTTCTAAGTGGCAGTAGAAAAACTCCACAACATACTGATTAGTTTTTCAATTTACTGCTCTTCCAGAGCAGAAGGTCCCTGAAGTTAAGAACACTTTTTATATTTTTATGTAGGCGCTTACCTTTGCAGTGGTAAATTAATGCCAGTTTACTGAAGATGTCTTAAGTTCCCCACTTCAAAGGAAATTTTTATAATTTCAGATTGGTATTTTCATTAGACCTTTATACACTAATAAGTGTTTTTTGGCATTGGTGAGTTTTTCCCCTCGGATTTCTCCAAGGCAGGACCTTTTTGTATGTATCACAGTAGATTTTCACTGCAGCTTGGTCTGTGATCATTGGATAGGCAAGCAGAAAGGCAAACACAAGCAGCTAATTTTATGGCTTGAAATAAAGTGAGTTTACACTTAAATATGTATGTTTTAGGAACAAGAATTTAATAAAAAGTTGCAACTTGGTGCCAACTCTTAAAGAAGCAGGGAATGTCAGGCCAAATGTGGTAACATCCTGTCACTATCCTGTACCGTGAAGGTGGGAAAGGTAGGTTATGGATAAATGAATGTCTGTATTTTTACCTTGTTTTACATAAAACTAGGGGAATAATGAATTGATGCTACATTTTTCTGTAGTCATATCTAGAACACTCCATAGCGATAGAAACTGCTTTTTCTGTGTGTGACACAAAGATTTCAGAAGGGAGCTAATAAAAATCGAGTAACAGTTTATGTAATAGAAAAATCAGATAATGAAACAGGAATAGATAAACGAAACCCTTTTGCAATATGGAGGAGAAGGCTGTAGGACTATGATTAATGTGCTGAATCGTAGGTGATTCCTATTGGAACGGTAGTTTCCTTGATGTAAAATTATGTAAGGTAATTGCCTTGTATTCCTCTGCTATGTATTAACATTTCTAAAGTTTCCTTTTTTTTATCAGTTCAGGAATAGATTAGTATAGAAGCATAGTTGTGTGAATGGTTTTGCAATGCATCACACAAAATGCAGGTTAGAATGGAAGACCCATGTTTTTATCTGTTTCGTAGGATAGTTTATCACTTGAATAGCTGTCTTCTGTTGACAGCTCTAAAACCCCTACACACTTTTTAAGAGCATATGCTTTTTTTTTTTCTGTTAGTTTAGCAGCTGCAAGTTGGAGTTTATCACTTAACCAGCAACTGGGTGTCTCCTGGTAGTGTATTATAGTGTACCCCCATCATATTTAAATCCCAGCATTCAATATTATTTTAGGAGAACAGTGAGTAATTTGTTCCATGACACCCTCTGTCATCGCTTGCGCATACTCTCCATCTCTGTCATCTGTAAATAACAAAGTATTTTCTTCCACTCCTGGGAGGATTAGCTGTAAGTAGACGTAATCTGAGACAAAAAACGTGCTTCTGAGCAGTCCTACTGCTGTGCTTTGTCCATGGCTAGGACAGTCATGAGCCGCAAACCCTTTCTTATCCCTATATCAGCCTTTTTTTTTTCTCCTCCAATCTTGTGGTAAGCAGTATGAACTGGTGGCTTTATTGGTGTAATGGGACACTGGCTGTCCCTCACAATGGAGCTTCTTGGAGCTGTCGAGCTCTGCCTGTGGCGAAGGCACAGATAGTTTAGAGGTGCGGATCACAGGACTGAAGTTGACTTTATTTGGGAGTGGAATGGTTGAAAAACAAGATGAAAAAACTTTGAGCAATTATCTGTGCTTTTACCCCTTCCCTTTGGAGGTGGGTAAGGTATTGCTGACCTGTTCCTGACAGATTTTTGTCAAATTTGTTTTCAAAATTCATTCCCTGTCAATGAAGGTTTACAACTTCTAGACTATTCATTGATTTCACTGTCTTAATTGCAGTTATTAAGGTAACTGTATAAATACAGTTTATTTCCTGTTCTCAGTACCCTGTCTGTGTCTGGAGATGGCTGTGTGCTTTTCTTTAGTCTCTCTAAAGGTTTTACTCAAGTTCTTGCAATAACAGACTTTGAACTCAATTCTCTTTATATGATCACTTTAGCTGGGGATGAGCTAATTACTTTGAATTCACAGCAGTAACTCACTTCCTTCAGGGCAGGAGGATTTGATGTAATTATTGGCTGCAGATGTAAACAGTGACTGTCTTGCTTCGGAGACACCAAGGTGTTACTTGCAATAAATAAACATAATTTGATCTAACTGTTCAGTTTTATCCTTCTCTTGTATAACTATATGCATTTTATGTTTCTGATAACATTTGAAAACTCTTCTTGTGCCTCTTACACCTTCTCTGTGGGTTGTGACCCATGGTTTAACAAATAGTCCTTTAAATCATCATCATCTTTCCCATTTAGTTCATACCTGTCATGAAATATGATGTGAAAATTGAAAAGTGTGTTTCAGGGCAGACTATACCAGTGTTGAATACAACAGCTTTTTTTTCATGTGTGCTTATATAGCCCATCATATATATGCATCACAGTACTTGCATTTTTTAATTTAATTTCTTTTTCCTCTAATAGTGTTATGATGGTGTCTCACTGTCCATTTGTGATCCATTGTGGATCCTTTTCTGCAGAGCTGCTCTTCAGCTGGTCATTCTCCATCTCTTCAGGTCTTTATTTCCCCTAAGCACCATACTTTGTCCCTGTCCATTTTGCATCCTGTTTGTATTAGATTCTTTGTCCAGTTTGTCAGAATTGCCTTGCCTTCCAGGCTGTTCACAGCCCCCTTCTGGTTTGCTGGTTACCTGTGTTTCCACTCCATGTACTTCATTTTGCTATATACAGACCAAGAATGGAAATTCTGGATTGCACCAAGCTGAGATTCTGAGCCCTTTCTGAAACTCTACTGCAGGCATGCACCTAGTTTAACTGAAGTAATTCTTTATTACATGTAGTTTTTCTAGCTGTTTTTGTACCGGCTCAGAAATGATTTCATTTGCAACTTACTTTCCCACTTCATATATGAGAATGCTATGTGACCCCATGACAAAAGTGTTACTGCAATTAAGATGTTTTTCCTCTACCCACCAAGCATGTTACCTGATCAGGAAAACTTGTTGATGTCATGCTGTTCCTGAGGAGCTGGTGTTGCCTTTTGTTTGCTATGTTGTTAACTTGTTAAGTGCTTTATTTAAAAAAAAATCTGCTTGTACCTGCCAATATTTTTGAGTGTTTTGAAGTTGTGTTGACTGACCTAAGAATTTCTGAATTTGCCTTTCTCTCCTTTTTAAAGACAGAAATTGTTCCATTTTCCTAGTGTTTTGGAACCTCACCTGCCTTCAGTGAGGCCTCAGAGAAAGCTGTCAGAGGCCATCGCGTTGCTTAAGAAACTTAGCTAAAGCATCTAGAGATTAATTTCCTTAGATCTGACAATGTGTGAAATATTTAACTGTGTAGTCTGTGATAGTGTTTTTCCTACTCAAATCTACTTCTTTTATCATTGCTACAAATCGTGTTACTCATGATTATACTTAACCTTTTAAATGACAATGGAACCAAAGAAGATATTAAACACCTTTTCAGTGTATTCCATTGTTAAGTATCCGATCTTACTGATTTAGCAAGACTTCTTTGTAATCCTGTATGTTCTTCCCTTTCCTGGTTATATCTCTGTTTATGTCTAGTAATTTTGACTTTTTAAAAAAAAAAAACCCACCAGAATTTCAGTTTGGGAACAGCCCTGTCTCGTCTAGGCAGAGGGTAATGGCAGCAGAGCAGGCTGTGGCATTGTAGGGCTTCACAGCTATTGCCTTTCTTACTGTGGTCTTTGACTCTTTCAGCTTGCTTACAGAACTCCTGTTTTGGTCTCCTGTTTGCTGGCTTTTAAATTCTTTCTGTCTAGTTCAGCCCACCTCTCCAAAGAAATCATCTATTCAGAGAAATGCACTTTGATGGAGTTTTTAAATGGTTTTGCCCCAATTTGAAAAGAAAAAACAGAAGGTCAAAACGTCCCTTGCAACAGCTCATCCAAATCTTACTGACTCTCCAGCTGGACTTTTTAGTGTGTGTGTTTGTTAATAATAAAAAAAAGTCTTAAAACGTACTGCTAAAGGTGTTTACTGCTGAAGTTAGAAGTTAATGTAGTGAAAAATGGGGTAACATACTCTAGTGGTTGTCTAGGTAGTTAATATACATGTCTTTGCATAAACTGTTAATAAAGTGTTGTTTATGAATATAAGAGAATGCTTTTCAGAACAGCTCTGTTAATAATTTACTTTTCATTTTACAGCATACACAGCTCAGGCAGATGAGAAGACAATCCCTGGTACTCCTACAGATGCTAATGCCAGAGCCTTGTTGGTTTGCAGTGGACCTTTAGAACACTATGACTTTCTGATTAAGCAAGAAGAGCTGAGGAATGATGAGCAACAAAGAAGAGTAGTGCAGCACCTGCAGAAGTTGCACGAGAGCCTTAAAGGCTACACCATCAGTTCAAAAAATCTCCTCTCAAAGGTGAGGTTTATAATGATATTTTTTTGCATTTATATTTGCTCATAAGAATGAGTTTAAAATATATAAATTTCTATCATTAGCATGAGTTTTACTTTTGCAGCTGGGTCTTTGCAGATAGATCATTGTGTTTGGATCTCTGTTCTATCTTTTTTGGTTTGTGAAATTCCAGTGGCACTCTAGAAGCAACCAAATTAAATATTATTGAAATAATTCTGTAAGAAAATCTGATATAATTTTGGTTGTGTCCACTGCCTGTCTTTCCCAAAATGTCATTTGGCTATAGGAGAGAGGGGCCTAGAGCAGGTTTTAACTCTGAAGCACTGGTATAAAACACATGTGTTTGTGTTACACATACTGAACACTGATGTTTTGTATTCTAACAGATCTTCCATGAAGATAAGTGAAATTAGCCAGCAGAGTCTAAATAATCCAAGCTAAATCATTTAGCTTTACAAAACTTTGTAAGATAGATCAGACATGACTTTTGGAAAAAAAAAAAAAAAAAAAGTCCATTCTTTCCAGTGATGTTAGTCTTCAGCTGAAGTAAGGAAAGAAGGCAGAGATGTGATCTGCGCCCCAGTTATGTTTTGGGGGGCTTTACAGCTCCTTTTCAAAGTATTAACAAAAATTCGGACATATCACTGTTGCACAGTGCCTTAGCAACCTTAGAGCCTTAGCATCAGTAATGCTAATAGGCTGCAGTTGTAGCTCTGTAACTTTTCCCCTGAAGCTGTTGACACAGTGTTTTCCAGAGCCTCTGTAGCAGTATTTTTCATGCCATGTTCTTATGCTGTTATTCTCAGATTGTTGTTCTTGTGGCCTTGCACCTGCAAATCTTGATAGTGTTGTTATGGCAGGTTCTTGTGGGAAGCAGCTAGAACCAGTGTGAGAATCCCCCCTCAGCTTTCCTTGCCTCTTGTTTTGTAGGTTTGAGTTTATATCCCAGAAGACCAAACATAGTGCCCAGCAAAGTAGATAATAGTAATTTAAATACTTGGCAAACATTAGGCAATCATAGATGTGCACAGAAACTGAACAACCAGTGAATATGCTTTATTTGCACCTGAGTAACATACTCCAGTCAGCACAAATAGTCATAAACATGCTGCGGGGAAGCAGCAACAACAGGGCATTTGACTGAGTCTGATGATAAAAGTATAGTGCTGGGAAAAAAGTATGGCAAAATATTCATTGCTATCATCATGTTCACTTTTCCTGCCTGCACTGGAGAGACACCTCCCTGCCCCTAAGAGGAGTATGTCTGGATGCTGCCACTGCTCTTCTCAGCCAGCCACTGAGTGTTTTTCTTTCTTGCACCACTTCTGTTTTTAATTTTCATCAGAAGTAACTTTCACATTTACAGTCAGTGTATGCCATCGGCTGCAGACCTTGCTAATAAATCTCCGTGTCAGCCTTTCTCAGCATCCGTTATGCAACACACCTCATCTCATGGGCGTACATCCAAATATCTAACTCTGTTGAGCTTGTTACCTAACTGTATACTCCCCATTGCAACTCCAAATTCTCCTATTACCTGGCACAAATTCTGTATTTTATTTGCATGGCAAGCCTAAATGATGTAGCGTGAGGTCAGCGGAGCCAAAGCCTACAAGTGCCTCTAAATGGCATACTGTCCCCTGCCCTTTAGGCACCAAATGACAAGTTACCGTTCTGAGGCTCTGATGATTAGGTACAAGGCATGAAAAAAGTTGAGAAGAGAACATTGGTATGAGAACAAGTATTATACCTGTAAATGGCCTGTGTTATACCTCAAATGTGCTTGTTTCAAGTAGGCAAGTGTGGCAGGGTGCAGAGCATCGGGACGCATGCTTGCTTATCAGGCTGCCTTCAACATCCCTTGAATGCTTTAAACTCATAATGTAGCTGGAAGTCACATATTTGCTAATCATATTACATACTTGACTGGAAATGCTGTAAGTGTCTTCCCATCTCCTGACGAAAGGAAGCAGACTAAACACCTAGGAAAGAGCTCTTTTTTACTGAGACAGAGTGAGAAGAAACCTGAATGGGAAATAATTCCACAGAGCAGAAGTCAGATGCTCTGGAAGGAAAAACATGAGAGTTGTGAAGTACAAGAAGCAAAGTGCTAAGGCGAGGCTACTCCTAGAGGGCAATGAGAGTGTCTGTGGAAGTTCTGTCTGGAAGCAGTTGGCCCGATCATCCGTATGGGTCCCTTCCAACTTCACATATTCTGTGACCAGCTTTAAACAGGGCGTTTGGCTGCATGATCCCCTGAAGTCCCTGCCAACATGAATAGTTCAGTGATTCCAACTCTGATGTGGAAATTGGAGCTGAACAGTGGTTTGGAGTGTGTTTGTGCCTGCTCTGGCTTGTGGGTCATCATGCTACTTAGCTTTGTACTTTCAGAATTTTTTAAATCAAAATTATTAAAAACATAAACAGTGTAAAAGTATAGTCTGAAAACTGTATATTTATGGTATTTTAGAACACTTCCTTATATTGTGTGTGGGTGCGTGCCTGTGGATCCATGTTCTCTTCATGATTTTGTAGGCTAACTCTTGAGTCTAAACCAGCCTCCTAATTCAGTGTGGGCAAATACCAAATAAAAAATGGAAATTTGGTCTTTCAAAAATGGTTATTGCTTATCTTTGGTATCCAAAGCAATATGGCAGTGTGGCTGGAAGAGAACTGTTTTTGCGTAAGTGAAAGGAGATCAAGCTGGATTCAGCTTGCCAAACTATTTCTCTAAGTGTAATTTGGCAGGCCAGAGTTTTGTACCTTGAGGGTGGTGATGTGAAAAGTTTTCTGTTTATTTTTTTTATCTATCTGGACTTTTTTTTAAGCTTTGGTGTTGGGCCCATAATCTTTTAAATTGCCTGTTTCAAAATAGTCTTTAGACACTGTACCTGGGCTGTAAAAGAGGAAGTCGCTCAAAAGGAAGCCAGTTATCTGGCTTGGTCCTACGTTATCTTTTGGACATACTGCCAGACTTCCCCATTTTAATTCTTTAGAAAAAATGTTACCATGAAGGTGGTGGTCTTACTGTGAAACCTGAGGATCAGTAGGCTAAAGCGTTTTTTGTCTTTTCTGGTAAACTGTTTTTGACATTAGGATATTCTGTTCTAAAAGCGCTGACTTTGAGAATAGTTTTGAGAGCTGACTTGTGTTAACTGGAGTGCCCTGAATCATTACAGTTGTTAGAGCAGGTGTCTTGTAATGGCTTCGTAGGTCAAGCTTTATGTGGGTTTGTTATTTACTGTTTCTTTGATTGGGAAGCATGAATGGAGAAGACAGTCTCTATTGCAGAGAACAAATACTAATCTTACTCTATTTAGGAAACTGTGATCCTACTTTGTCCCCGTATAACAGAGCTAATAACGGTAAAGCCGGACTGGCTGACACCTTCTTAAAAGGAAGAAGTCAAATGCCATTTTTTAGGTTGAGAATGTGGTTATCGCTAGTTCCTTTAAAGCCCTCCTCGCTTTCATTTAACAATGCTTCCAGGCTTTAATTTTAAACCAGCTTTTAAAAATTGTTGAATGGCTCTCTGATACCTGGGAACTAATGTCACCATCAGTAAGAATTATCTGTAGAAACAGTTGCTATTGGGATAAGTGCTGTTGCAGTTTGAGCTTTTTCTTCTAGAGCTCGATATCTCTGTGGAAGTCTTAAGCAGGATTGATAACCAGGTTGAGCACTATGGTGCTGTGCTGTACATCAGAGCCACAGAAAAGGAGAACAGTGAGTTTTGTGTAAATCTGCTAGCTTGTGTAATTAAATCATGATTCATGATGGAGAATAAGAAGTTGTAACATACTTGTTTCTCTTCTGCCATCTTGGAGGAAGTTATTTGCTAGTTAAAACAGAGCTCCTTTTGAGATAAAATGAAGTATTAAGCCAAATAGAGTATGGTTTAAATTCTAGTACAGGCCAGGTTTTGCATCATGTTGTAATCAACATCCTTGATGAAGGTTTTCTATAGAATAAGTCACGGCTATGAACAGGTAGTGGGTAAAATCATAGCCATCAAGCACTGTACCAGCTGTAGATGCTTGTGAGATGTCTGCATCTGTCAAGGAGTTTTCTAAGTAAACAAAATATATGTTTTTCTATCATGGATTTTCAGGGTAAGGATGCTGTTGCAGACCTGGTTCAGTTTTGAAGAGTAGAACTAAGGCTTTTTGGGCTAGGAAGAGGTGGTGAGTACTGCTGTCTGGAATCGACCTGGGTTTAGTAGGATTTGTGTAGGCTTAGGAGTGGAAGTAGTTCATGTAACTAGTAGAGGGTGTCTCCAGGAAGTGCTAATGATACAGGGCACAGGTAAATCCTATTGTCGTGATTAGCTCCTTGGCACTCTCCTCCTATGAGGAGTTACTTTGTAACTTTACATATGCTACGAAGTAAAAGGTAAACCTTACATATAGGCATTAAATGGTTGTTTTTATGATAAAACGATTGGCATTGGTTTTGCTTGATGGTTTGTACTTAATGGGTTTTAACAGCTGTAAATGAAACAAATTGATGTCTTTTAAATAAATCAAACACTTTAATCAGTTACACATAGTAGTTTGTAGACTGACTTTTTGCTTTTTCAGGAGGTTTCTAGCAACTTGACTAACCTATGTTTAGTATGAAATCTCCTGTGTTGAAAAGAATCTACTGGCAGTTTTTCAGAAATAAGAAATAATTGTCCTCAGCGTTTCAAGCATGCTCATTTTTCCTGTCTCTGTCATTGAAGAGACTGTGGTTGAGAGATTGCAGTGAAGAAAAGGTAGGGGAGAGAGGGAGACAGAAGCCTGTCTCTGCCAGCCGCTTCTGTGGTCTGCTGTTCCTTATTTTATTGCCTGATTTCTGCTGTTATAGAATTGCAGAAGCCTCTTCAAAAATAACAGTTATTGCAGAAATAGAAACTTCTTGCACTTCTGAACCACTATGAGAATAGTGTGCTTGGTTTTTAGTTTTATTCTTCATTTGTCACTTTTTATCTAAATAGTTTTATTCACTAAAAATATGGTAAAAGTAGGATTAGGGAACAAATATGAGATACAATGGAAGCATTTCAATGCTTATCTGGGAGACTTGCATTAACTCACAGACCAGAGCTTTCTGGAATCAGTAGTTTGTGGGGGGAGGGACACAACACCAGCCATTTCCTTTATGATAATAAAACTGTGGTTTTTTACGGTGTAGGTTTTTTGGGGCATCAGCTTAGAATGAATTTGAAGTGAAAAAAACCCAATTAGTCTTGCTGCAAACCAGTAGGCTTCTGTTTTTCAAAGTTATTGCTCAAATTTGAACAATTACTTTGATCTTCAACTTGGTGAAAGCATGGCCTTGTATGTTGAGATATTTTGAGATCCTCTGAATTGAAGTTCAAGGCCATAAGAGTTTGCAAAGACGTTTCAGATCTCCGGCTTTACAAAATAATACCGATTGGGACATCTTACGAGTTGTTGAGTTGCTGTACTAATTACTTGAAATAAGCTCAATTATAAGTGAGGTCGTGTTTTGAAAAGAGGTATGAACAATAGTAAACACCATTCAAGACCTTGACAATGTCTCCAGCTACAACAACAACCAAAAAGGAGGCCTGAAAGAGTGGGAGAAAGAGGCAGTTCTGTTAGTGTTTAAACAAAAAACAAATCTGCTCTTTAGAGACTTGTCTCTTGAATTTTGCGTATTTTAATTAACCATCTTAGTACTGACATGCATTTTCACTAAAATTTTTCAAATCGGAGTGTAAATATTCCCAGGAAATGAGCTACTTGCTTCTGGCATGTGAGGAAGAGACCATAGGAGAAGGTGGGAAGACATTGCACATTATTAAAGATATTTAAGAAAGAATAGGAAGTTGTCAGAATGAAGGAGGTGTTTTGACCAATAGAATTCCTTAGATGAGACAGAATATTGATCGATTAAAGTGAAGTTTAAACAAAAACGAAAAATCTGATGGGATATAATCAAAGCAAGGCATGCAGTTTTGAAACAGAAATGTGGAAAACATTTTTGATAGTAGAGGAGACATTTCTGTAAATCTGGGCTCACTAACGTATGTGTCGTCTTGTGGAACTGTAAATATTTTAGCATATGAATTATTTTCAAATAGAAGTCTGAGTCAACAGATCTATGAAAGGAAAAAAGGCTCCTGCTGTAGCATGTCCTGTTGATAATGAAACTTGCTGAAGCTCTTAAGTTATGCTTTCTTAAGTTATTGCAAAGAATGTTGTGTGAATTAAGAAACTTGGAGGACTCGAGGGATTTGACACATTTGTGGGGGTGCCCTGATTTAAAAGGGTGTGATGAGCATTCAAAATGTACGTCTAAGGATTTAAAAATTCTCCCCTTCAAACCCAAATTTTGTACATCCCTCAATATCTTTGGTTTTGTATATTTTAAATATTACCTTTAACATCCTTAAATCTTATCATTGTTGCAAAAGCAAATTTAATGTCAACCTATTGAACATTATTATACTGAGACCCCAAATATACCTCAAGATAATAGGGAAGTAAGGAGCGAGGAGAAGCTCATTCATTTAATTTGTCTTCCCACATCTCCCGCTTTTCTCCCTTCCCTCCTGGACATAAACAAGACCACTCTTATTTTAGGGTAACTGGAGGATCTTCTGCGTTAGATCTACCCCCTCCTTCTTTTGGAGTGTCTGTTTCAATAGAATGAAGATCAGTCTTCTGCTTTCTTCACCCCACGTACCACTGACTTTCTTGGCTGCTTGCTGTGCTCTAAATTGAACCAACAACATTGATTGGATTTTATCAGAAATCCTACTGGAAGTTGCTCTTTTTCGTATACAGCTTCCAAGCTTTAGAATATGCATGAGAATAATTTAAAATAATAATAGTTAAAAAAAAAAAAAAAGATCATGCAGAGTACCTTGAGACAAGTAGGATGTCTGCGTTTTAGTATTACAAGTCTACTGATTGTGTTTGCTTTTTTAAAATAAAATATATGTTAGAAAATTAAAAAACAACCCAAGATTATACAAATAAATTCTTAGTGTTATGCCATACCTGACAGGATTGAGGAAGTGAGTATCCTAAAAGTGTCAAGAGTGTCACTTCCGGCGGAATTATAGGTAAAATATTTCCTCCAAATTTTTTTAATTGCTCAAAGAGGATAAGAGTTTTTCTGGCATTTGATTTGCTTTTAGAGATTATGAGCTTCAGCAAATGTGTTTGGATCTGCCACAGTACCCATCCTTTTATTTTTTTTAAGCAATTAGATATCGCTCAAAAATTGCTGCCTTCACAAAGAAATTAATTCAATTTTTTAAATCAACCGGAAGTTGATTTAGAGTTTTATGGAGCCCTAGCCATTATATTTGTTTCCTTTAGCCAAAAAAACCCTTTTTCTGTAACATATTTTCTGGAAATTCTAAGTACTGGAGTGAGAATAAAATATGCCTAAAAACACGAACTTCAGGATGGTTAAATGTAATTAATAAACACTCTACAATGAAAAAAATGGTATAAAAATGTAGGCATTATTACTTGCTGTGGTTATACAACCTTTACAAAGATATGTAATGCAGTACTCTAAACACTGAGTTGTTTTCCTAGGTTTGTGTCATTCCTTATGAAACTGCAAAGCACATTAATACAGCCTTTTAATGTAATAAATTTATGTGATAGTCTTTTATCTTGTTAAAATGACTGTTGTTAATCTCACAGTAAAAATAAAGAAATTCTTAGGAATATATCTCTCCTTCAGTTTTTTTCCGTTTCTCCTTTCTTCGCTGTGTAACTTTAAACACCAGTAGTTTTAATGAGTGCAAGCTCTTAAAAATACACACTGAAAAATGTTTGTCAATTAAATTGTCTTGCAGTGCTTTCAAAGCACTAGCAAATAGTTGCAGCCTTGTCTATTAATGGAACGGTTTCAGAACATCTGAAACCCTCTTCAGCCACAGATTGATGATACAAACTTTTTGTTATCCTATTAATACAGCTCTAAATTAAATCTATAAGTGGGTCTTATGTAAGAGCTATGCTTGCATTTTTTCGGAATAAACTGGTACTGTAGGCCTGAGACATTATCTTTCTACCTCTTGGTCATATATTTTCTTTCATATTTAATTAGTGTTTTGCTACTGCCCCCCAATTTCTTTAACATGGCACTGTATTTTGAAAAGTGCTTTAGATTCAAGTTGTTTAGCAATTACCCAGCTCCAAATGAGACCACAAGGTCGCATTTTTAATTTTCCTCTGTTTTGGCTCGGCTCATAGAACTCTGAAGTGGAGCACTTTGAAATAGCCAAATAATCTTCTGCAGTGTTTTTGTGGATGTCAATTCAGTTTCATGGATTTGATAAGAATTTTGTTAAGATTTCCATTTTTTTAGAAACTGTTTCTTTTTAGAATTATACTTGGAGATGGCTATGCACAATAGTGGGAGGGGAGGTCTGTTTCAAATTGAAAGTCTCGATGTTGTTGCAAGTTTTTCCATAAAAATACATATTTGAGTAAAATAGAATAAACCATCAGGTGTCATAAGGTATGTCCTGAGTAATATTAAGAGATAAAAAATTCTTAGGCAGTATTCGTTTAAGATAAACATAACTCACTTGAGAAAATTATTAGTAAAAGGCATGCTTTGAAAATAGCCTTTTTTATATATATATACACATATGCAAGTGCATGCACATGTATATAGGTACGTATTTTTACTGCAACTCCATTGATTTTAGTCATATGTAAATCAGAGGTGGATCTGCATTTAAGATTCAAAGCAGAGAGAAAGGGGACCTACAATGCTCACTGGCTTTGCAATACTAATTTTCTGAATCTTAATGATTTATATCTCAAGCAGAGATGCTTTAATAGGTATATGGTGCATGTATCTATGAATACTACAACACTGCTTAATTTTATATCCTTATTCCTAGGACTGTGCAAATAGCTTAATGAGGAAAAGAATTTGTTTTGATGATGATGGATTTGGAAACATTTAATCATTTTTGTATGTGTTCTGGTAAAAAGGCATGTGTGCTAGGACTGGGGATGGGGATATTTTCACAATGATCTAAAAAAACCCTAACAAACCCTGCATGTGTGTTTGGCCTCTTTTATAGAATTCACACAAATACAACATTAAGATTGCTTGCCAATTCTGATCTAATAGTTTATTCAGGTTACACTTTGCTAGCTAGTGCTACTTTGATGGTTAAGTGTAGCTAATTTCTTACTTTACCACAGCAATGTGCTTGCTTTTTTTTTACCTGGTATTTGTATTTATTCTTTTTCCCTTGATTTGCAGCTCTTTGCAAAAAACAAACCCCCAAAAGGTCTTTATGTCTATGGAGATGTTGGTAAGTTTCAGTTGCATCAATTCCAATAGAATTTTCCCTAAATGCACGTTTATTCAAATTCTGATATGTCTAAAAACTTTATGCTTATGTAGCGTTACTGCTTTAATGAATTTTCCAGGATTAGTTTTTTCAATGTTATGATGTTATTTAATACAATTACACTCAATTCTGGAAGCTGTTGGATTGGACTACATTACCACGTGTAGTATTTTTCAACATTACCCAGTCACTAATATTTAAGAATGCAATTTAAGGATTTGGGAAGTAATTGAGGGGGCCACGGAGGGAATTTGTATTCTAATTGTAACAATGCAGCATGAAAACATACTGGCTTTTCGAAAGGGAGTACTGAGGATGTATTCTGAATGCATATGGAGCCATTTGTGCAACCTTTGAGCCCTCTCTGTATGCATCAAAATTTTAAAACAGGAAAATAAAAATGCAGTTGTTCCAAGTTTTAGAACAGAAAATGTAACTGTTCTTCACAAACAATCTGGTCTTGTACTTATTCTGTGGAAGAGTATAGTTTCATTAGTTCGAAGCTAATGAACAATCATTATTGTAATCAGTACATACTGTTCTTAAATTAACTACCTGTTGGGTGGGGTTTTGTGTTTTTTATTTGAAGGCACAGGAAAGACAATGGTGATGGACATATTCTATTCTCACTTAGAAGTTGAAAGGAAAAAGAGAGTACATTTTCATGGCTTCATGCTAGATGTACATCAGAGTAAGTGCAGACATAGGTATTTACAAGAATTTTATGAAACACAGTATCTATAAAAACACCTGTTTCATTCTCATATTCATATTAATTAACATAACTTTATTTGAATAATGTTTTAACAAAAAAAGTAAAAAATGGGAGAGAAATTAAAGGATTTTAACATTGTCTGTCATACCAGAGTAGATATTAAGTGCATATTCTTTCTCAGGTATCTTTTGTCAGAGATTCTGTGTACCTGATTGTATAGAAAACTTGGTTCTATATTTAGGATTAAATCTTTAACTAAATGTTTTCCAGTTACCAATTAGCTTACATGCAATCTGAAGAAGGCAATTGCTAAAACTAAAACAGTAAATGTTAAATTCAGTCTGCATTTTGAAGAAGCGATATCTAAATCAGATACAAATAAATGCCGAGGGGAATGAGAACTGTTCTGGTTGGCAAACTTAGTAATACTGTCAGTCATTTAGAGGAAAGAATAATAGAAGTAAGTTCGTGCGAAGTGTCAGAGAATTTTCTGACAGGGTGAATAAGGCACTTTGTTTTGATGGAGATAAGGAGATACTGTTTAAAATATTTTAAAATTTGCTTCTGTTTCAGAATTCTGTGACCTTAAAATATAGTGAAATTGTTGAATAATGCTGTGATTTACAAGTATCGTGACAGCTGCATTTTTCTTGCGAAGCTTTCATTGGTGTAGACGACTTCTGCCGCTTTTAATGCCTTCGTTTCTATCGTTGTTGGGTCACTGTTGAGATTTTCTGTCTCCATTTCTAGTCATTTGTGCTTAATCTTAACACCAGTAGCATCTTACTGCAGGGTCTTTGTTTTCTGAATGTTTGTTTGTAGTCAGATGGAATACAGTCCATGAGACAGTGAAGTGTGGATGTAATAATCTTACTTTGTGCCAGTATCGTCTTTATGTTGTAAAATGTAACTGTATCAGTACTTCTAAGTTCTTGTAACTAAATGCATTCCAAGTATACCTTCAGAGCATGCAATGCACAGAGCTGTGCCGTGGATTTGTAAACACCGTGAGGGTTTTTCGTACTCAGAGAGAAGTTAAGACAGAAAATGCCAAATTACAAAGCAAAGCTGAAACTAAGGTCGTGAATTGGAGCAAGATAAAACTGTAATTTGTATCAATTTCTAAAAGATAAGATATAGGTGCATAGCACTCAAGAGTTCTTTAATTCTTGTTTTACATATTTCTGAACAAGAAAAGATGAATCATAGAATCTGTGAGCTTTTAATAGTTGCCTGGATGTGGTTGAAAACAGTTTTGCACTCTTGAAATTGGACTAAATTTAAAACTTTCTTATTTTTACTGGACTGGGTTACGTTTTGTTTGGTAGCTAAATAATTTTGTTCACCCTGTCTTAGAAAAAGAAATAAGAAATATTTGTTCTTTTCTGTTTTATCAACCGAGGAATACATCGCCTTAAGCAGAGCTTGCCAAAAAGAAAGGCAGGATTTATGGCCAAATCATATGACCCAATTGCACCAGTAGCAGAGGAAATAAGCGAAGAGGCTGCTCTCTTGTGTTTTGATGAATTTCAGGTAAGAAGTCAGAGATATTACTCTTTAGCTTCAAGGGAAACTGCATAAAATTACTTTTGATCTTAAACTGTGGCACTTGTTACTGCTAGTACAGTGTTTGAATCATTGGCCAGTAGTGGACTGTAGAAGTTGAGGAGTAGAAGTCATTTCACGGTTTTGAGGGTGGTGTTTGGTTGTTTTATTTTTTTCCCCAGGAGGTAGGATGCAAGTTGGCGATGTAAATTCCCTGATAGTGCTTGCATTTACCAGTCTAGTTATTGGGCATACGAGGGGGCATTAGAGTTTAATGAGAGGCTCAGGAGTACTTCAGGGCAGGGACCATCATCCTCTACTGAGTTTGTACAGTGCCCAGGAGAGTAGCCACCTGATACTTGCTTGGCATGACTGGTCGTTGCTGTAGTTCATATAATGCAAGAAAATTGTCTCAGTGTGATTAAGGGCATGGAAATAACATGTCAACTTCAACCTAAATTCTTTCCTAGAGTTACTGGAGCCTTTGGCATGGCAGTGTCAGATTATATCAATGTAACTAATATTTGAAGAAACTTTTATTGAATTAAATGTGAAAATTAAATTATTTCATTTCATTCAGCTTGTGAATTTTGTTTTAAGGGAATGTCACAAATTTTAGTATAGAATTGCTTTATAAAAATTATTAGGAGGGAGGCACGAGGTATTTGGCAGCTCTAATCAGCTGAGATTTTTTTTAATTCAGAGTGAAAATGCAAAGCAAGAGAAGAACATATCTGTGTTAGGTCACAGATCACCAATAGTAAAAGAATCCTCTATTAACTGTAGAATGTCTGTGTTATGCTCTTAAATTAATACATTACTGAAATCGATAGAGCAATTTATATCTCCTAGCTGTTATTTTACAAGTCTGTGCACCCGAGAAAGTAACTGGTTTATGGTCAGCTCCCGTGAAGCGGATTTGTGTAGCTGTAAAATAGTAGGTGTTCTTTAAAGTTACGCTTGCATTTTTCGTCAAAGTGTAGTCCTTTGATCGATGGTTTCAGAATGTGTGGGATCATTGCAATTGCTGCTGTCTGATCATGTAAATTGTGCTTTTATCTAGTGAATATGAACGCTAGGCTTCCAAAACTTGCGCTATAAAATTTAAATACAGAGACGGTTGTATTTACACTGTGAAGAAATGGGAAGGTTTGGAGAGGGCAGGGAGGAGTAACTGTCATGACATCAAATGCTCACCTGGTAGAAAGAGGCATCCTTGTTGTGCCGTGTATTAGTGTAAATATCTGCTTTTCTGTATAAATGCCTGCTGCTTCGATATCCCGGTGTTGCAGTGTTTCCAGACAGTCATGTTTCCACATTTTAAAGAGACTCTGGTATTTTTGTTTCCGAATTGATTGCCTGCTCCCCCTGCTGACTTGCTTGAGGTACATCAGTCACTTTGGTTGTTAAAAACACGTTTCTGTCAGTGGGTCACAGGTGGGAAGGTAATACAAGAGCTATACTTTCAAGTGTATATCTAAGACTTTGCATTCGTATGTGAATTTTAAAAATCTACTTGTTCTAGGTGTGCTAATGTTCTGAATTCACAAATTTCTGAACAGCTGGATTTCTTGACTGATTTTCCGTAGCACAGAATGCTATGCAGGCTTCATCTGCTGAAGAGGAGTCCCAGCTTTCTGAAATTTTGCGGAAGGCATTGAATTTGGGATAAGAAACCTTCTGCTTAAATAGCCATAAAGTAGTGCAGTGACTGGAAGAGCAGCTCACATGGTGACACAATTAACATTGATAATAAGGAGCCATACCTAATTCAGGATGTTTGCAGCTCATTTCCCTGTAGAGGTAATGGCTAGATTTCGCTGCAGTCTGATTCACTCATATTTAAAGAAATGCTGGATTAAAATGAAGCTGGAAAGAGCTGGAGACTCAGAACATACTGCTCTGACTTGCAGACAAAGCTACTGTCTATTTCGACAGATGGAAAGTCAAGTTAGGTCTATACTACTTCGGCGAAATACTTGTGTGAGGAGGAAACATCAGAGAACTATTGAGATTTGCTTGAAATACTTCAGGTTACTTTCAAATACCTGTTGGAAAAAAAGGAGAATAAGCTGAATTTTATTTCTTTATCTTAATATCAGACACATGGACAAGTGAGAGGGACAGCACTGTAAGAGGGACAGCAAAAAGTGTTGTTAATGCTCATATTTCAGAGGAAACCAAATGCAGAACTTCAAAAGACAGAAGGATTGCTGAGGTTGCACGTTCCTCTGACAGTGGGCTAAAGCAAAACAGAAGTACTCTGAAGTGAATCTTCTTGCAGAGCCTAGAGAACTGTTGAACAAGTGGAGAGTCAATTAATTGATGTAGAAAAATATTTCAGTACTTTAAAAAGTAGTTTTATGTGTTCCAAAATATTGTCTTATTAAAAAAAATAATTACTACGTCTTAAACAGGTTTTTTTTTGCAGATACTGTGTGATAGCCAGGACTTTAGTGATGGCACTAAGCTTCTGACTTTGTCCATTCTGAAGCAGGTTTTTTGTCGGCATTTGCCTGAACCACAAGCTCTCATATTATTAAAGTATTGCTGTTTCTTACTCATCTTTGTCATACAGTTTACTGTAGGTATTAGTTTTTTTTTTTTTTTTTTAAACACGGAAGTCTGAAGCCATTCTAAAAATGTGTCCTCATTTTGAAGAGAAACCCTGAATTAAGCTGTTTGTAGTTATGATTTTGATGTTTCAGTACAGAGGTTGGCCAATAAAAAGAGACTAGTTATTGTTTAGCGATCAAATAACTGTATGCAGGTAATTAGAAGCTCTAATTTTGGTGTGTGACTGTAACCTATGTTAGTATTGATAATGAAAACAATCCCTATTTCTTGGTAAGCTGGATGATCATACAGTGTTAGTCTTTATATATACCATGGCTACTACTTGGAGTTAAAGCAGACTACAATTTAAGGAGTTTTGACTAACCTGCATGCTATTAAAAGCCTCTAATAAAAATTAGGCTCTTATTTTTGTGCTAATACTAATTACTGGTAATACATGCTTATGTTTGTCATTCATTACGTGGAACTGTACCAATCAGTGGATGACTGAGTCTCAGGCACTTACACATGTAAATTAACTATATGTTTGTGGTTTTTTCTTTTTTTTTTTTTTTTTTTTTTTTTTAACATGAGTCATAATGGAAAGCAGCACTAGGTCATAAAAATCTTTTCTCTTAAATGCTAATGAAATTTCTCCATTCTCTCCATTAGCAGGCTCTCCCTATTGGTAATTTGTAGCCTTTGCTTTTGTTCCCCGTTGCAATGAAAGCTGGATACAGTAAAAAACGTGAGAAATGACAATGCTGTAGTTACTGTCTTCTACCTGCTTTACCTTGTAGGAATTTTCTGTCTTTCCCAAGCTGTGTTAGATTAAAAGAGCTCATATTTGCATCCCTGTTCTCAAAATGGCTCTTGCGTTTTCACAGAACTTTCGAGAGTTACTGTTTTTTTTGTAATGGAATGGAAAATATCAGAAATCTGCATCAAGTAACAGTTCTCGTTAATAACAGAGTGTTATTGCTTTCTTTTATGTGAGCATAGTATTTATAAGCAAAAAGTTTGTATCGAAATGTTTATATAATACATTTTAAAAACTTGGCTATTAGGTATGCTTTGTGAGACAAGAAATTCAGCTACCCATAAAATGCACATGTATAGTGTGATTCCTTGTGTGTCTTGTTTTTTAGGAACATGGAAAGTTCCTAAATTTTAGTATTTGGAAGAAAAAAATTATCGATAGGTGCGTGCATAAGCAGATATGTTAGACATATAGTACAGTAGTGAATTACTGCATGCTTTTTGGAATATTGGATCTTAGTGATCAGAGATGTGCAAGTCTGGGGGATGCGTTACTGATTGTGTAACAGTTTGGTTTTGTAAAAGGAAAAAAATTTTATATTAATGCATTCCATAGAGCTTACTAGAAAGCTTTTCCTTTAGAAGGAAACTGGTGTTTATATATGGTTCCTTATGAACGTTTTTGCTTCCAAACTAGCTGTCAGAAATATAACCAATGTCTTTCACTGTCTCTAGTGTAGAATTAAATTTTTATGCTGCCCAGAAAGGTAATTTAGAAGTGAATGGGGGAATGATGGCGAGTTGGGTAGAAAAGCAAGGAAAAAAAAATCATACTGGTTAAAGTCTTTTTGTAGATGTATTGCTGTCACATCATACACATCTAGGCTGGCAAAGCATAGCAATCTCTGCTGTACAAGGAGTGCCTAGAACTCTCAGCATGCCACCGCTTTGTTTCCTCAGAGCTGGGGTCTGTTCTGGTAAGTCAAAATGCAACAAGTGACTGTACAATAATCAAAAGGAATGCAGGAGAAACAGGTGTAATGATAATAAGTTGGTTTACTTATTAAGATTGCCGATCTCAGCTCGTGAACTCCTGTGAAGTATAAATTGCTGTTGTAACAATGTGGGCTTTTTGTTCATTAAAAAACTATTAATTTTTTTCATTTGTACAGGATGGTTTCTGTTTTGCATTGCTTTTATTTCTTGGTACTCTAAAGCAAGTTAGTTAAGCTAAACGTAGATATTTAAAGAAATTTTACTTTTTGGCTTATTTTTTAGTCTTTTTTTCTTTTTTCTTTTTTTTTTTCCCCCCCTCCCCAATATCACTTGGCCCACTCGTTTTTATTTTTTGTTAGTGTTTTGTGCCTGGAGGTTAGAAGAGGCTGACTGTGCTGGAAGTGACTGCCGTGCCTTTTGATTATTCATGGACAGTAATAGAAGGCACTTAAAAAGAACAATGAAATTGCTTATTTTTGTGATGGGCCATCTGTTGAATTGTTTTTTTCAACAATCACACAATAGTATCTATGTCATATCGTTCTATTTTCAACAGCAGCTGATTGTGTATAGTTGGCTACTTGTCTTTATTTCTGAAGTCCCATGACCATTTAGCTCCACCTCTGCAAACCTTTGCCTCAAAGGTAATAGAAATGTAAAACAGCCGGTGTGTATTTTCTTTGTCTTCTGTTTTTTTCATGTTGTGTCTAATTAATTAGGCCTCTTAATGTTTAGGTCGGTTTTCTGTGTCTCCCACCTGTAGTTTTATAGTAGAAGTTAACATGGAATCGTTTAGCAGTTGGTAAAGTAATGGTGGAGTTCCTCAATAAAGAGCGGGCAAGTTTTGAAAGACCGTGGTACATTCACTGCTTATTAATTATCCCTTTTATTTTTTTTCCTCACCAAGCAATAATTTGAATCTTTCTCCACGGCTTTCACTAACAAGCATTTTTCCTAGCTATAAAGCCACTTGCAGATCTATTGCAGCAGAAGCTAAAAGCAAGATAAAACAAATGTGTTGTCTTCCACAGGTCACCGACATTGCTGATGCCATGATTCTGAAGCAGCTTTTTGAAAATCTGTTCCAAAATGGCGTTGTCGTTGTGGCAACATCTAACAGGCCGCCAGAAGGTAAAAACAAATGTGCTGTTAGTATTATCCAAATACAAGTAATGTCAGTATCTTACGAAACAGTCAAATTAATATAGTATTTAATACTAATAAACTCTCTAGTCTTCAAGAATCTGAGACACTCAGTTTGTCCCGTTTTTCATGTTCTTAAGGAAAAAAGGTTTTTCACTAAGTCTTACTCCTCTCTTCTCTCAAACTCAAGGTGTTTATCCCCCTGCCTTCCCCCAAATCCTTCTGTGTTCTCTGATCTTCTCTACTCTGTCCAAACCAGTGGGAAGGTATCTGGGGACAGGGGGAGTTGAGGAGGGGTGAAACGTTGCCTCTGTGTTGGTGTTGGGTGTATTCCAGGATAGGAAAAGATAATATTCTGCAGAAGAGAGGGGAAATGAAAGTGCGCTCCTTCCTGCTTTCTGACTCAGAAACTTGCAGACTTGATCCACCAGCTCAGAGGAGAAGATGCTGTTCTCACAGCTTGGTTTGAGGTCACTCATTGGGAATTACTTAGGTGGAGAGTTGGTCCCATTTGTAACAATGTTTTTAGATAGAGAGTGACTAGGTAGGTGGATCCTTCTACAAGGTCCCCAAATCTGTGTGAGTTTTAACCAAGCAGCAAATGTAATTTTTTGTAGAGGAGAAAGATGTTCGTTACAGTGTGGCATTAGCAGTTAGCATAATGCATGCTTTCTATGCAACTTTTATGACACTTCAGATTAATTAATTTCAAATGTTTGTGAATAATACTGAAGTGTTAACGGCATTAACTGTAAATGCCAGTTAATTTTTCTACCCAAATTAATTGAGAAGAGAATCACTAAAGAGTTACAGTACAGTTTAGCTTAAAAAAAAAAAGAGAAAAAAAACATTAATGTTTTTATTAGAGGGACCCGTTGGTTTATTTTTTTTGTTTGAACAAACAAGATGAAATCGTAATTACTGTAGTTGGTTTAACTACAGATAAACTGGACACTGATGCCTTACACTACTCTATAAAGTTCAGGAGAGACTTTTATTGTAACTTGGGGATTGTATCCCACATCTTAAATTGAGATGTCAGTTTATGACCATTATTGTCATATAGGGTTTTTTAATACATATTAAGTCACGGTGTCAACCTGAAAGACATCCATGTGTACTAGCTACCCAACAGAGAATGTCAAGAACGGCATCTCCAGAACTGAGCGATGCTGCAGTCCAGACACTGGTCAATGCCTGTTTCCCCTTCTTGCTACTCCTGCGTACTCACGATGTGGGTCCGAAATCCTCCCACAGGAGAGAGAGCTGGGTTAGAGCAGTATGCTGCATCAAGGTTTAAGACTGAATTGAGAGATCCGTTTCTTGCGGATACGGAGGGAAAAAGTGGCTGTTTCATTAGAGAGCAGAAGTACCCAGCTATTGACCGTTAGTGATATGCTTAACCTTGTTAAACTTCTGCCCCAGGGAAATACGAAGGGAAATACTCAGGTGCAGTGTTTGAGGAATCGTGGCTTCATTTCTCCACTGAAATTACGGTTTATTTTTCTCATCCTCACAGAACAGAGATCTAATACAAAAGTCACAGCCTTATTAACTAGAAGAACTAACAGAAGTAGCTGTCTTACAGTACTGTTACATGTTTACTAATTTTTGCGAGTAAATATGCAGTTGGTTGCTGTTTTAACCAATATATAGCTATTGTGATTAGCAGAGTTATGAATGAGAGAAAATAACCTGGCATGATCTTTGCAGAGTATTCTCTTATTTATTCCTCCTGTCAGTCTTAGGTGCTGTGTTGCGTTTTAACAAGGCTTCCTAATATTAATTAGAAAAAGCAGCCCATCATACAGTTTAAGTGATAACATTTTCAGTGAACAAGTCATTCTGTTATGAGCATGTTGGGCAGTTGGATAGTTTCCATGGAAGCGCACTCTATGCTGTATAAAATATATAGAGAAATAAGATATAAAATCCTGCTTTGCAGTTTGTTTTTATAATTTGTCTTTACTTTCAGTGAAGATTTGCATTTCGTTACATAACATTCTATTTTTTTAATTCAGTTGTATTTTTAGCAACTTTGCATAAATTTACTTTTTTTTTTTGCCTTAGGGATGACCCTTTTTCTTGCTTTGCAAAAGGGACTGTACCTTGTAGAATTGCTAGAAGATAAAGTGTACCACAGTGCACCAAATAAGAATGATACTAACTTTGTAAAATCAAATAGCTTATTTTAAGTTAAAGTTGTGTTTTTTCCCTCTTCCAAATACTTGGGACTTAGCAGTTGCATAGTTTTTGCCTTACAGTCAGATCAATGTATACCCAGCATTACAAATCCTGTTTTATATCCTTACTTTAAAACAGATGCTGGTCTTATTTCTTCTGCTAAAATCAGTTATATATCATTAGAGATTTAAGTCGTCTTTCACTCCCTGCCTTTTTCACTTTCTCAGGATGTTCCTTTCTTCCTTAAGAATATAGTGAATTTTCATACAGCAAAAGAAAAGAAATCAATTTCAGATCTCCTTTTCCGCCTTTTGTTCCTCCTCTCTCTAGCGACACTGAGTTTTATTTGCCAGACTAAAAGACGAGCTGACATTGTTATTAAGACTAAGCAGCAAAATGGTACTGATTTCCTTTCTTTCAGATCTCTATAAAAATGGTCTTCAGAGAGCTAATTTTGTACCATTCATTGCAGTGCTGAAGGTAAGGAGAGTCACTTGTTAAATGCTTTTCAATTTTGCCTGCTGTATTAATAAATTAGAGATTTGTGTGGAATTGCTTTGACCATAGAATCACTTAGGTTGGAAAAGACCCTTAAGATGATCAAGTCCAACCGTTAGCCTAGCACTGCCAAGTCCACCACTAAACCATGTCCCTAAGCACCAAGTCTACATGTCTTTTAAATGCCTTCAGGGATGACGACTCCGTCACTTCCTTGGGCAGCCTCTTCCAATGCTTGATAACCCTTTCAGTGAAGAAATTTTTCATAATATCCAGTCTAAACCTCGCCTGACGCAACTTGAGGCTATTTCCTCTCGTCCTATCGCTAGTTACTTGGGAGTAGAGACCATCACCTGCCTCGTTACAACTGCCTTTTGGGTAGTTGTAGAGAGCAATAAGGTCGCCCCTCAGCCTCCTCTTCTCCAGACTACACAGCCTCAGTTCCTTCAGTTGCTCCTTGTAAGACTTATTCTCTAGACCTCTCACCAGCCTCGTTGCCCTTCTCTGGACACACTCCAGCCTCTCAATGTCCTGCTTGTAGTGAGGGGCCAAGTACAGGGGCACGATCACCTCCCTACTCCTGCTGGCCACACGATGCCCAGTAGGAGGCAGGATGCTGCTGGCCTTCTTGGCCACCTGGGCACACTGCTGGCTCGTGTTCAGCTGGCTGTCGACCAACACCCCGAGGTCTTATTCTGCCAGACAGCTTTCCAGCCACAGTATATTGATACTAGTTTTCACATAAGGTGTATATGCTTTAACTTCTTGGGGAAAAAATAATTGAAGGTAAGGCAGAAAGGAACTCATCCTTTTTAGAATTAACATATCTTGAAAGCTGTATATTTTATAGTGTGACAAAAAATTACCTATTTGACTAAGGTAGAAGATTTTGGTTGTTTGAATAGGATTTTCTTACTGGTTTGTATATGCTGTGTGATACAGTATTCCTCTAACAGTTAAACTTTGTGGTACTGAGGACATCTTACATTTATTACGCTACAAAAACTTGTTGTTCCTTTGTTGTAAGCAAAGCAATGTTTGGTATGTACCCCTCAATTACCTTGTTTGTGGGTTTTTCTTGTGTGTAAGTGGTTTTCTGAGTGGGTATTTGGGAGGCTTCACATAGTGTTCAACATGCAGCAGTTCTGAAGCAAGCATCCCGGAGTCTGCATGTTGTGGTGTGGCAGGCCGTACTTCATTTAGATTAAAAAATGTAGCATCCTTTTTCAACGTGAAGAATACAGTCAGTGCTTATTTTACTGTTAAAAAGAACGTGTACTGAACTCACTTTGAAGTTCTGGCCAAGTTGTAGATATTTTTAATTCACAAGCTATGATTGTAGTGTTACGTTGTTGGGGGCTAGCATACAGCTCTTGTGTCCTGCTCCTCCTCGATTGACAGGAGATGTAAAATGGAAATAACAGCACTTCCCTACCTCACAACAGTATTGTCAGCATAAATACCTAAATAATGTTAGCTATGTCAATATCTAAGATAAAAGAAAGGTAAGGTAGACTTTGGGGTAGGTTTGGCTTAGTGAGAAGAATTTTGGAATTGCGGAATAGATACATTGGTTGGAAGTTTCTGTTAAGTGGTCAGCAGTAAAGCAGTGATATACTCTCCTGTGTATCTCAGAATGGCTTCGTATAAAGTCAGGGAGGTTACCAGTGAAAGTGGTTCTTACCTGGATGGCTTTAGAAAAGTAAGAAACGTGAAAATAAATGAACAACCATTTCCACTTCAGATTCTTGAAAAGGGTTAATTCTGTAGCTGGCTGCATTGGATGCAGAAGGGGTCCTGATCACAGAGTGTTTTCAAGATCAGTAGTACTTTCATGTGCATTTGCTTTTTCAAATGCAGCATCCATGGCAAATCTTTCTTTTCTATATATTTTTCCTTGTTTGACTCTTATTTTTATTTCTTTATAAATGTAAGGCTCTTGCATTTCATTGGTGATCAGACTTAAAGATTATATATCATATATGCTTATTTGTAGTTTCCTTTTTTCTCTTTTTGGCTAGCTGAAAAAAAAAGTGAAATGTAGTTTATGCATACAGAGCACCTCAACAGGACTGGGAAAATAATCTAAATTTTTAGAAGGGACCGTGTAGATAAAACACAAAGAGAAGCTGTAAAAGTGGATTGGTTTAGAGCTGTGACAGGGGATGGAGTAGTGCAAAAAGAAACAAGTAGCACAACCCAGACTAGAGGTAGATGAACATTATCATAATAACGAATGAACAGAGAAAAAGGTTTCATTCAACGCTCTATTCACAAGGTCCTTTCTATAATGCTGGATTATGTCTCGTTGTTTTTTCCCCTGCATCTTTGTGTTTTAATGCTGCTTTAAGTATATCTGCCTTTAATGTCAGTTTAATAAATGTTACCAGTATAATATGGTTCTTTCCCAAAAACATAGTGCCTGAAAGGTGGATCAGAGGAAGCTTAACAAATGCTTCTCTCAGTTGGAAAGTGGAAGGGTAATGGCAAAGTATGAAGAATAATAATGAAAAAATTTCCAAATCTACATTTTGAATTCAACACCTCAGAAGTGGTCATTAAAAAAACCACAATGGAATGTGTTTTAAAGTAAGATTTTAACAAGTGGCCATTGCAAGGGTGTGGCTAGAACTAAATTGATATTCTGGCTGTGGTGGTTTGAGAAATGCAGATTTAGGCCTCCCCAACATGTCCCATGGCATCCCTGTATTTTTTCTCGTGTCAGTAGCATTAATGGTTGGAATAGCTTCTGCATCAGCTGTTTATAATTCCACATATGAGTTTAGGAAATTATATCTTCCAGGGTTTTGCATGGAAATAAGATGGAAAAAATACTGCATTGTGTGCTTGCAAATGTGGTTTACTGTCTTCTGTACCTTCACCTGATTTCACATGCTGTGTGTGTCAGTCTCATCTACCCTGTCCCTGGCGGTGGCTTTGACAGCTTGGACTGACTTCTGTCTTGGTTTTCTCTGGACTCAGAGCCTTCTGTTGGGCTTTAGTTTGGGGTTTGGTGAATGGGGGATTGGTTTTGTTTGTTTGTGAAACTATTTTTTATGATCATAAATCTTCAAATAAGGCTTTAGCACTAGAAGTAGTTCATGTTCGACACAGGAGCTTCAAATTCCTTTAAGCATTCTTGGAAAGATGGGATGGCTGGAAAGTATTGACAGTACGTTTCTGGGAAGAGATGCTTCACTTGATACAGATTTCAGGCTGTTTCCATTCCCTGTAAATGGAACTCATAGTTCCTAGCTACTCTGGTAACTGTTACACTAAAATCTTTCCCTTCAAATGGTCAAAAGAAATTGTTTCTTTCCCACATCTAGAATTACCCATGTTCATCATTGATTTTGTTGTTATTTTTGTTTTCTTCAGGTTATGTAATTCCAGTAGGTGTTTCTGGGTTCCTATTGCTTACAAAGATAGCTACAAACCAATTTTTGTGGAATAAGCAAAAAGGCGAAACAGCACGCTAGGGAAGATACAGTTGTTTTACAGAGTTGGCCTGTATTGCCTTGCTAGGTGGTAGATTACGGAGGACAGGGGACTGCTGAATGCCTGCAGTGGGAGGTGCAATTGAGAAGTTCCACTTTTTAGGTCCACATAAAAGCTCCAGGTCCTACAACTGGTGGTCACATAAAAGCTCCAGGTCTGTGTAGCTGGGCAGGCCAGTAAGACTGCTGGCAGCAATTCCTGCCCTGCATGTGTCCCCTGCCCAGTTCTGAACCTATCCCAGTGTTCTGATCTTTTGAAATCTTAAATAGTTTGAGATCTAATTTGTCAGTGATTCTTTAATCCTGTAACTTAAAGGGGTAGTTTTCATAAACAGGGAAAAACTCTCAATTGAGCAGTTTGTCGTTGTGGCTAAAATTCTTTGGGACACAATATTCTATATGGAAGGGCTTGTTTCTGCAAAAGATAAGAGTGCTTCTTCAGTCCATGAAATTTTATAGAGATAAAGAGAGTTACAGAGATAAGAAGTATTAGGAAGGAAAATCTTCTAATTCTGTAATTGCAATTAGACGATTAGATTCAGTCCCTTCTGATTGAGCTTTTAATCTTGCAGCATCTCTTACCGAGCATTTTAAAGTGCACAGAACTCCAAAGTGATATTTTTTTTTTTCCAAAGGCAGTTCTTGAGAAGAAAAACATTCATTGCTCGCAGTTACTTTGTTCAAATGCTTAGAGGAGGAACACTCCAAAAATTGTTAACCTAAACTGATAAGAGATACAAAAAATTTTTGAACGTTTTAGTACAGGTTTACAAAAAGCTGTGTATCTTCAACAACTTGATGGAGGATCTGAAGTGAGGCGCTTCAAAAAAAGAGAAAGAATGCTTTAATTTACTGGTTTGGCTGTAATTTTGGCAACATTTTAATTTTTGCAGACATTTAATGAAGACAGTTACCTCAACCCTTCACTGTTTTGGAATCCTAATTCTAATGCAGTGACTGGTTCAATGCTTCATTCTTCGGACAATCAGGAAGGAAAGCTCCTGGAATAGTTTCTTGTGTAGAGTCTATAACTGAAGTGAGCAGTTCGTGAGCTTCCAAAGGTTTCCTGGAACCGTAGTGTGAAGTTTTAAAACGCCAAGCTGAGTTGAAATACCAGATATGTAACTTCTGCATTTTGTCAGGTTTTAGTCATGCAGTAGACCTGCACTGCACTAATTCTAACTGCAAGTCAGGAATTTTTAGAGTCTTTTGTAGCCTGAGTATAGTATGTAGAAGGTACAGTTTTAAAATTAAATATTTGGCTTTGGTGACTTGCATTTTGCTTATACTAAAGAATCAACTAGAAACCTGTTGTCAGTAGGATGTGAAATTACCATAAGCTTACTATAATAATTTTTTTTTTTTTTATTCTGCTATTAGGGACCAAATCGTTATTTATTTTAAAACTACTTGGTTAAAATGACTCTTCGACAGTAAGCATTGTACACTCCTCTCAAATAGAAAGCAATGTATTTTTATATGCTG